GGATGAGGGAAGCTCTTTAGCGAGGATGAGGGAAGCTCTTTAGCGTGGATGAGGGAAGCTCTTTAGCGAGGATGAGGGAAGCTCTTTAGCGAGGATGAGGGAAGCTCTTTAGCGTGGATGAGGGAAGCTCTTTAGCGTGGATGAGGGAATCTCTTTAGCGTGGATGACAAAATCTCTTTAGTGAGGATTGGGGATTTCTTTAGCATGGATGAGGGAATCTCTTTAGCATGGATGAGGGAATCTCTTTAGCATGGATGAGGGAATCTCTTTAGCATGGATGAGGGAATCTCTTTAGCACGGATGAGGGAATCTCTTTAGCATGGATGAGGGAATCTCTTTAGTGAGGATGAAGGAATCTCTTTAGCGAGGATGAAGGAATCTCTTTAGCGTGGATGAAGGAATCTCTTTAGTGAGGATTGGGGATTTCTTTTGCATGGATGAGGGAATCTCTTCAGTGTGGATGGGGGGAATCTCTTCAGCATGGATGGGGGGAATCTCTTTAGTGAGGATGAAGGAATCTCTTTAGCGTGGATGAGGGAATCTCTTTAGCGTGGATGAGGGAAGCTCTTTAGCGTGGATGAGGGAAGCTCTTTAGCGTGGATGAGGGAAGCTCTTTAGCGTGGATGAGGGAATCTCTTTAGCGAGGATTGGGGATTTCTTTAGCATGGATGAGGGAATCTCTTTAGCGTGGATGAGGGAATCTCTTTAGCGTGGATGAAGGAATCTCTTTAGCGTGGATGAAGGAATGTCTTTAGTGAGGATTGGGGATTTCTTTTGCATGGATGAGGGAATCTCTTTAGTGTGGATGGGGGGAATCTCTTCAGCGTGGATGGGGGGAATCTCTTCAGCATGGATGGGGGGAATCTCTTCAGCATGGATGGGGGGAATCTACACATGTATCGCTAATCTAGCAATAGCCATAGCACATACCTCCTAAGAGGCGAGAGTGACACCCCTTTGCATAAATTGTGTAGGCGAAGGACACACCCCCTGCCACGTCCCCAGTTACATCATCCATGAAGAATTAAGTGGTTTTATTGAGAATAGCTGGTCACATGTTCCCTTCGCAGGCTGCGCAGCACCGAGAATTTCTTTAGCCGTCTTAAGCTGCCAGTATATCGTTAGAATTTCATTCATTCGAAATCAGTCGTCAGGACATTCAATCTCGTCATCATTGAGTCAAATATTTTCATTCGCTAGCCCTTTGCAAAATGTTGTCCAGTCCTGCAACTTGAATGAAATCCCGGACATATTAAGACAGGTCCCCTTTGTGCCCGGCACATGGGCATTAGCACACGTAAGACTTTTCACAAACGGAAAACATTTCACTTATTCAGATCAGAATTGAGAAACATTTTTGATCCAGCTCCTTTCCTGGTCACTGCGGTCAAAGACGGACGCCATTTAAACCCCACTAACCATCAGGCAATCACACGAATATTGAGGTGCCCTCAGAGCTTCTGATCATCCCAGCCAGCACTGAAATTAAGTCTGCATGCCTAATGCAATCTTCTTCAGGCTGTAGAAATCCCGGAGTTTGAAGAAATTTGAGTTGAGGTTATAGAGTACTTGTGTGCAACTGGGTGTCACCCGAAGTGGGTACCGGGTGACACCCTGCCGTGACGTAATCGCGCATGCGCAATGACTTCATCGCGCATGCGCGGCCATCTCGATGATAACTGCCGGAGAGGAGGCACAGACATTCACTCGGCGGGATAAGGTATGCCATCAGGACCCCTCCTCTCTCCTGCAACTGTCGGGCTCTCGATCCATGACCGAGTGCCCAACTTTTCAGATGGTGCGACACCAAAATGACTGTCATTCAAAATGACACCCGGGTAACAATGGTGTTACCCGGGTGTG